ATATATAGTGAAGTATTAAATATTGGACAATATTAAGTAATTAAAATTAAATTGTGTTTTGGGGCAAAAAAAAATCGATTGTCAAACGGTATGCCATTACGTCGATTTTCCGCGAAGTTATTGCTGCCCATAAAATTACACAGTTGCATGACGGTGGAGTGACATAGATGGTGGCTACTACTTGTGTAGTAGCGTGTACAGCTGATTCGTTCAGTCACGTGAATCACTCAGACACATTACGCGACTCGCATGTTTACGCATCTCTGCTAAAGATTCACGTGACTGAGCTTATCAACTGCTTGTCGACGCGATTGTTCATCTCGGCTTATAGATTGCCGGTATTACTAATTAGAAGAGTTGAGTAGAGCGAGTAGAGACGAATCACGATATAAAAACTGAAAGCGATATTATATAATGATCCACTTTACATTATTATATAATGTAATGCAATATTTTAAATTTGATTTTACAAAACTTCTCTAATATTTGATAGAATATATACAATAATAATAATATTTGTATAAAAAATATATAAGATTACAACCGTTATAACTATTAAGTCTTATCGTTCTGCGCTCAGCAGATTATTCGGAAGATAGCACAAACATATTTCATCTCTGGGGATAGACGTGCAGTGCACTACTGGCGTTCTTGATCAATCAAGAGTCTGGCAAACCCAGCGCGAGTACCGTTGACCCCTCGGGGTTACACGTCACGACAGTGAGATCATTTTAGAAGATGAATCTCGGAAATAGTTTCTTCGAAGACAGATATGTAACGAAGTGTTTTTGAAAGAGAAGTTTACCACACTTATGCACTCCCTATCATTGTAAACTTAAATCTATAATCCTTTTTTTTTGAAAAAAAAAAAATTATAATCATAATTGTGAAATACGCGTTAAACAATGAATGATACTGATCGTTTTGTTTCGTGAATATTTAAGTATTATATTATTAATATAGAATTACATATATTATTGGTCACGTGTTACACAAAGGAAACTTTTCAGATGAGGACACGTAAAACGTCGATTCCCAATCGATGAATCATTCATGCCAGGATCTGGTAACGCGACGCATTTAAAATTCTTATACTCGATCCGTCCGTTACTGATATAATTTCCTTCTTCCTGCGATCCTTCTTGTCGCTCTCTATCTACCTATCGGGTGTGGGCACATTCGCGCGCGTGCATACGCTGCAGATAAGAACGATTATAAGGTCGCTCATTACCATTTTCCCTCGCGTCGGGGGTGGCCGTTTATGCCGAGAGAATAATAGTGCAATCAAAGTCAACGACAGGCCGATCTTATCGGCGCACGAGAAGCATTTAAATATACCCTCGTTTCGTTTTCACGGGATCTTCGCATTCAGTCGCGCCCATACTGCCAACCCTCGAATTAACCTTCATCTGACATGGATTTAACTCGGGTTTATAGACGTGGTGCCAACGAGCGACACGAAATCGATATCGCCGAGACGGACCGATAACGAAACCGTCATTTCACATCTTGTCATCAATGCGAAAATCAGTTTGCGACAGAAACCTTGCGTGTGCGTTACCAAGCCCTATATTTAAATGACCTCCGTCGTATCAAAACGCAGTGACGGCATTTTAATTCATTGCGATAAGGTCTACAATCAACGGGCAGCGCAAAATAATCGCCGCTAAATTCGCGATTCGCGACACGTGAGACTTAAAAAATATAGATCTTACCGGAGCGACGAGTTGCGGCGTCTCTCCGTTCGAAGGAACATTGCGAACAGCCGCTACGGGAAACGAACCGCACAAAAACGAAGCCATTTAGCGTAAAAAGCCATAGACCGTAAAAAGCTCGAACCGAGGTGTTAAAACACCTGGAATTGTCGGCGACGCGAAAGGTGGAATAAGAACAGCGCGCCGGAGCTGCATAAAAGAAAAGAAAGAAAAGGGCGGCAAGGCAATGAATGCCAGGAAGCAAAAAGAAAACGAGAGGGATGGCGCGACTCGGGATAATACATCTCAAGAGAGTTTGCGCGAACAGGAAACGAAGGTGCATCGCGAGATGCAGCGCCGAGCGAT